TCGTCAGAGGGAGGGATATTGTCGAAGCTTTTCGTGGGTGTCTGAGGCTTTCGGCTACTCTTCTGCTACAGGGAAGAAGTTGCGAGCTCGTCGAGGGGTGGTTGAGGAATCGCCATGGTCGTCGACTGGTTTGGTGAGGCCGTACGGCAGAAGGCATGCCTCTGCCCTACTTCGCGATGGTCCGGGCTTAGGGCCGCTCGGTTGGTTCGTTTGAGCCCGGGCCCACTTCTGTTTTCTTGGAAGATGACGAAGGTCGTATGGCATGCCTATTCGGCTTATATACATACAGGGGCGGGGATAAGGCTTCGACTCTTGTTCGAGTAGGCATCTTTATTCTTTTGATCATCTTCATTCGAGGCTTATTTCCTTCACGGCTATTGTTTTCAACGCGGCTATGTCTTGTGTGCCGCGGTGACCGGGCTGTAGCCGGCTCTCTTCCTTTATTTGATTGAGGGGCTGAGGTGATTAAAAAATGACGTATAACAATAGGCTCTAATGGTCAACATTTAATCTCAACCAGGAAAGCAAGTTTTGGACATGCCACATCAATAGAACATGAACCCTTTTGATCACAAACTCAATAACTAGGTGAACTCCCTTGATAACTTAGTTTGAGAGAGATGCTTCTCTTTCTACCCCACCCTATATACTTAGCCCCAATGTGAGATGAGATAACCACCATGAGAGAGATATCAAAGATGAGAGAGTGGGGTGTGCCCCTTCTGGCTATCCTGAGGTAGAGAGAAACTTTCTTAGATGGGAGAGAGAGAAATTGGCTAGAGTAGGGCATGCCCCCTAATATGGATGAGAGAGATACAGAAAGTGTAAGGTATAAAGATTTGGGTAGTGTACAACCCCTTTTTATAATGCTTGAATAAATTTAGGGTTTCTTAGGGTTTTTCTTAGCTTACCACTCATATAATATTATATATGCACCATTGATCTTGGTTGACTTGTGTGGTGAGAGATATGAGTCGTCTCTTCCATAGATGGGCCATCAACATCCTATGGAAGCTGCTAGAACTATTATCCCCCACTTTCTAAACCATTTTCCTATCAATTATTTCATAAAAGAAATTAATATATGATAATATTATAATTTCTTATTTCATGCTCAAGCCTTCACACACATACTAAAAATTTGATTCAAAACCTCTACAAATTGCAAGCTTTCCAAAACACATATTTCTTATACCATGAGATAAGTTCACTTTAAAATAGTAAGTTCTCTATGTGGGGCGTGCCACCCATTGTGACACATAATGGGCCCCACCTAATTTGCTATGGTGGGCCCATAAGTCATATTGGGCCTCTCGTGTAATTTTAAAATAATATTTTATTTTTAGAAATTCATAAAACCATATTTTAATAGTTTAATTGATATAAAATCAATATCTCAGTTTTTATAAATCCAAATTTGATAAATAAAATATCCAGAGATTTAAAAAAAATCAAATAATAATTCTAAAAATCATATATTATTAAAATAGACAAAATTAAATACTTTGATGGGAAAAAGATCCATATGGTGTAGGAAAAAATATGCACTAGGGCACTCCATCTCCAACTACGAACTACGGACTACACATGCTTTCTCAAACCGACTCAGCATTGCCCATGATCAATGTTGAAACAATCGAACCGGAACGGTTAACTGAGCATGGGGCTCGGAGCGGTTTGAATCGGAACTGGACTAACCAGGGCAGTTAATCGGATTAACCGGTCAAGTAGATTTCTTTTAAAAAATAATGGGTCAAAAACCCCTAAAAACATTTATAAAATAGAAAAACTTAGATTAATTGTATAATATATTATTTTATACATTTATCTTACAAAAAAAAAAAATGAAACAACTTTTTATAAACTAATATTTGAATACTATGGTCCTGTACATGATCCCAAGCAGGTCATATAAATCTGTTTGTTTCCTAGATTAGGATATTCTTTAAAGATATTTTTGTCATGTAACATCTTCTTCCACGAATTAACATATTCATCCCAAATCTTACATGAAAAACTTTCTAGTTTCTTTTGTACAAAAATCACTCACATTAGGAATGAAAGTTTATGCACTATTTTGCAAATAACAAAAGTAGCTTGATGCTATTAAATCAAAAGAAAAAGCCAACTAATTAAGAGAAGAAACAGAAATGACCTCTTCCATATGGTTAGATAAAGTATAACTCATATAATACTTTTTCAATGAAGTTAAATAAGGCATACTTTGCAAAAAGTACATCTCATGATATTCAACAAAATGAAAAATCAATGCACAACACATTTACATGTTATATTGTTCTTATATATATCAACCATATCCATATCAATATGTTGTGCATTGATTTTATCAAAAAGTGAGAATAGTAGAACAAATAATTTTATCAAAAAGTAAGAATAATAGAACAAATAATTTTATCAAAAAATAAGAATAGTAGAACAAATAATTTCATCAAGAAATAATTTTATTAAGCAAAATAGCAAAACACTTCCCATATTTATCATAAAATATAATTTTATCAAAAAAATAATTTTATTAAGCAAAATATAAAAAAACTTCCCATATTCATCATAAGACATAATTTTATTAAAAAACCAGAATTTTATAAAAATAATAATTTTGTTAAGCAATATAGAAAAACACTTCCCATATTGATAAAAAACATAATATTTTATTAAAAAACAAAATGTTATTGAAAAGATAATTTTATTAAGAAATATAGCAAAAACAACTTTCTATATTGATCAAAAAATATAATTTTATTAAGAAAAATGATATATTTTTTTTTAGAAAAATCAATTTTTTAAAAACCCCTAAAATCGAACAACATTTCAAGGAAGAAACCACCCTCAATATTCTAATAATGGAACAAATCAACACACATGCATTGTAAAGCCTTTGTTCATCTTTCAAATGCACCAAATCTCATAAAAAATTATTTGGTATTTTGGATTTAATTGATAAAAATGGCGGACATTTCAGAACTATGCAATTTCATGACCTCGTGCAAAAAACATTCATATTAAAAAATTTACTCAATCATAAATAAACAAACCAATTTTATTTGAGATATGAAGCCTCAATGATCGAAATCCACCACTCAATTTAATAATAAAAATGACAAATAAATAGATACAAAATCTACGGTTTTGGATCGACAATAGGATCTGAGTAGCAACTTTTCAGGCAAAAAATCAACCCTTGATCTTTGGTTTTTGAAACAAATTAAAACTTGAATCTAGTAAATACTTTGAATAGCAATCAAACCCCTCAAATTTCTTCAAGAACCATTAGGTATTGAGGAGAATATTGAAAGAATGGCGGAAAGTTTTAAAAACCTAAAAACTCCATTATTTCAATCTAAGAAACTCTTTTTTTTTCAATGTTTAAATCCAAATTACTTGTTTTATATTCATTGTATAGTGATTTAAAACATTAAAACACAAAAAAAAAAAAAACCAAAAAATGGCCTCAAAACGAAACAAAAAAGGTGAAAAATGGGATTCACAGTTTTCTTGCAACATATAACGGCCCCCATTTCAAAATTATGTCATTATTTATATATCATTATTTACTAAAAAACATCGTTATATCAGCGAACTGGTCCAGTTAGCTGAAAACCAACCGGTTTGACAGAAACATGGCCTTGACCCCTAAATGGCCGGTTTTGGGCCCGAAAGTTTTTTAGGTTATCACCTAAACTACTAAAACACACAAAACCGACCCTAACTGGATCCGAAACCCTAGTGGTTCTGGTTCTAACTGCTAGTTTTTCTAACACTACCTATGACCCACAGTCCATGCAGGGTATCATTAGTGGATCACCAAGTCTAGCTAATGGGCAAGAGGTTGCAGTCCCAGTAAATGGATTTCAGGTTATCATTATATAATACAATCCATTGCTCAATAGTGCATAAGGGGTATCTTTCGCACATGCACACACTTCACTCTGAAAGGTCGTTCACACACAAGGGTCACACAGTCCCTCGACTCACTCTTCCGGGTAAACTCCGACCTCATCAAAGGATACGCCATCCAACCCTTATCAGTTTGTATCTCTATTTTCAAGTAACATGGGTTTTTCCTAACCAGACCGACCTAACACGTCAAGCACAGTCCAATATCAGATGTTTGCTTAGTATGATCCATACGGGACCACACTCCCACTCAGTTTGTTGAGCTTGTTACCTGTATTCAAGAGGGCAATAGGGGTGCTAGGGATTGGGGGCCTATGAGAGGCAATGAGGTTGTTGAGCTTGTTACCTGTATTCAACATGGGACAGGTGGGAGTGGGGTTGCTGGGCATTGTGGTGAAGGCACGGGGGTTGGTGTTCAGGGTGTGGGCATTAGTGTGAAGGTAGGGGGTTGGTATTCAGGATAGGAATGTTGGTGGTCAGGGTAGGGGGCTTGGTGGTCATGGTGGGGGCAAGGGCGTGCTCCAACATCTGCATGAAATTGAGGTTGGATTGAAGGAAGATAAAAATGAGTTTATTGTATTGAGAAATAAACTTCTAGATCAGATGAATGAAATGGAAAAGAATATTGATAAAGTGAGAGTTGATTTGAATGGAGTAAAAAATAAAGCTCTTCAAAATATGTATTGAATGAATTTAAGAATAAAATTAGAAATGAATTTACAGATGGGGATTCTCTGATAAGTATTACTAAATGATAACTTCATTGGTTTTACTTTATGGTTGAGTTTAACATTTCAAGTTTCTAATTGGATTTTTGGTTGCAAAGACATATGCAATCTTGTCCTTGGGAACAATGAAGCCCACATGTACAAGATCAATGGAGGGTGCCATTGAAGGCAACCTCAGGAACGAGAGAGGAGAGAGAAAGGGTAGAGAGAGAGAAAGAAAAGGAGGAGGACAAATTTTATTTCTTTTCCGAAAGAAGCAAAACTATTTTTTTTTTTTAAATATCAACTTAAAAAAATATTTCCCTGATAACGGTAAATATATATATATATATATATATATATATATAATTTTTTCAGATGTTTCATCTCCAAAATTCATGAACTGCTTGAAACCCCATAAGCTTTGGGATATCGAAATGGCGACAGCGCACTGGCCGAAGAAGCAATAAAGAAGCAAGCTTGAATCCGCTGACACCTCCACGCCCACGAAAGCCGAACTTCTCATCATACAGCAGGGGACAAAAATGCAAATTTAGGGTTCCAAGGGGAAGAGAGAATGGCTGCTACTGCTACACTACTCTCACCCACTTCTTGCTTCTCCAATCCCCATCATACTCTCGGTGGTTGTAGAAATTTCAAGGCCAAAACCTTTCGTTTGCCTGCTCTTTCACCCCCCACAATCCAAATTACCCAGGTACATGCCTGCCTCCTTTGCTTTCTTCTCTGGAACTACCCCAATTCTTGGTTTACTCGGTTTCTTCTTCTTCTTCTTCGAGTTCGGCCATGGAGAGTTGGCACGATTCCCGTCAACGTGTTGCTCTCTCTCTCTCTCTCTCTCTTTAATTGCATTTGAACTCGTTGTTATCTATTCTGACTGCTTTTTCTTCTTCTTATTTGTCTCCATCTTCTTCTGGATGGCTAGGCTGTGAGTTTTTATTTGAGATTACTGCCAAGCCAAGTGGCTGAAACCCGTCAATGAACGTTATTTTGCTTATTTTTATTCTTAATGGTATTGCACCCATTTTCATGTGGATCCTCTTCTCTGTGATACTCATGGATAATTTGAGGCCCTTCACTTAGACTCATTATACAAAGCTTAACTTGTTTACCTTTTATATTGAGCAATGCTGTTTGCTCAGGATACCAGTGTTACATGCAGAGCCAGTAGCATCAAAATTTACTTTAGTTGAAAATTATGTATTATATGACGCAAACAATTTGCTCTCCCTACATGCCACACGAAAATGATATTATTGAACATCACTTCGTACTTATGTAGATTAGCTGTATAAGGGATACTTCCAGATGGATATGCTTCAAGTTACTCTGCCTTATTTATTTATTGGTTTCTTCCTTTCTAATATCATTTATCAATGACTGCTCATTTTCAGACATTCTTAGGCCATCGAACTGACTATTGATATGTAAGATCTTTTAGTTGCACATACAATGCAAACATTGATGTTTTTCTCCATACAGTGTTTTCTACCAAAGTCTGTGCCATGTCCTTTTGTTCTAGCCTGGCCTTCACTAGAACATTGGATCTTTTATGTTTTTTTTTTTTATTGGTTTTCCTTCATATCATTATATTCTGGCATGGTGTTTCTTATGAACGTATTTTCTTTGATGGCTACAAATAATGTGGGACAATACCTTCACATATCTTCACAGGATCTCTTTTCCAAATATATCTTCTTTTTCTTTTTTTGGAGAATGTTAACATACTTTTCCATATATATCTAGGGCTTACCATCCAAATTTATCTATTGGTATCATTATGAGCATTTCCCCACTTATCAGCCTTTACGAGGATTTGATGATTCTCTTGGGTGTGCTAGAGGCTGCCTATCCATATCTATCTATGTGCGTGCGTGTGAGTGTCCAGTACGTTCTTGTGTTTAATCAAAAAAAAAAAATCTTAGAAGCAAGAAAAGAGAAATCTAAATGTACTTTTGTTAGCCTCCTCTAATAATTATCATCATCATCAGATCTTTTTCCCAACTATTTGGGGTTGGCTAAACAAATCCTGGTCTGCCATTCTACCCTATCAAGGGTTATACCCTCAGTGAGGTCATAAGTCCCCATATCTTTTCTCACTACTTCCAACTATGTCTTTTTGGGCCTATCCCTTGCCTTGAGCCTTCCACTTGAACTAACTCGCACCTCCTAACATGTGTTGTTCTAGGTCTGTGCTATACATAGCTAGCCCACCTAAGTTTACTTTCTCTCATCTTATCGCTTATTGGATCCACACTTCAATTCTCCTGAATGCATTCATTTCGAATTCTTTCTCTTCTAATCTTGCCACTCGTCAATCTCAACATCCTCATCTCAGCTAATATGGGTATGTTGTTTCTTGATTGCTTGACATTCCTCCTCATAAAGCAACGTTGATCACACAGTTGTCCTATAGAACTTGCCCTTCAGCTTTATTAGTACGTAGCAATCACATAAAACTCCTCCTATGATTGTACAAATAAAAGTTATTAAATCAACTTAGATCATGAGTTGTTTTTTTTTTTTTATTTGTTTGGATCCTTGAGCTTGTTGTAAAATTTTATCCTTATGTAGAATCATGTTAGTTTCCTTTTTCTTTTGTTTGGCTTTTAATGTTAATCTATATGCATGGAGGCTTACAAGGTGTTGGTTTTATTGGATTTTGTTTCAAAAGGGCCAAAGTAACATGAAGAATGTCTTAATGTTGCTCTAGAACAAAGGAGTTTTTCCTTATTAATACTCCTATTGGGTTTAGAACCTTGTAGGTATGGATTAAACATAATCATTAGAGTGCAGTTGAATCCAATGAGCCTAGCAAGTCTTATTGCTGACTAGTCTGAGGAATCATCTTGATTTTCATGAATTGGAAACTTGAAATTCAGTTCTGTTGAGTCCTTTATCCACTCCCAATTGGTTTTTGAATAATCAAGCTTTCAATATCAAGATGTACTGATTCAAAAAATAAACCAATTTGGCAATTTCTAAAACTGAAGATTTGGTATTGTGCTATTGTGGTATTTTTACGACAATACTTCAAATAAATGAAATAAAAGGCTGATTATTGTGAAGGAAACTAGGAATGCAACTCTGTTCATATACTGTGGAATATTATCCTTCATTTATTTTTTCTAGATGTGAATTTTCTGTCAGTGTGACCTTTACCTGTCATCCAGATCTGATTCCCATGTGGCTCAAAATCTTGATGTTTGGGTCTCAATCTACATCTAGGCATGTTCTGAAATGCGTGTTTGACTTACAATGTTGGAAGCCAGGGTTCAACTCTGAGTTATTGGTACTAAATAAGTTAAGTTTCTGTTCTCTCATCTTATATCCTATTGGATCCACACCTAAGTTCTTCCAAACGTATTCATTTCAAATTATATCCCTTCTTATCTTGCCACTCATCCATCTCAACATCCTCATCTCAGCTATACTCATCCTATGGGTATGTTGTTTCTTGACTGCCCAACATTCCACCTAATAAAGCAAAGTCATCTCACAGTTGTCCTATAGAACTTGCCCTTCAGCTTCATTAGTATGTGGCGATTGCATAAATTTTCTCCTTGAATACTACAAATTAAAATTATTAAATTAACTTATATCATGAGTGTTTATTTATTTATATCTGTTTGGGCCCTTGAGCTTGTTGTAAAATTTTATCCTTTTGTAGAATCATTTGAGTTTCTTTTCTTTTCTTTTCTTTTTTTTTGGCTTTTATTGTTTATCTATATGCATGGGGGCTTACACAGTGTTGGTTTTATTGGATTTTGTTTCAGAAGGGCCAAAGATAGTAGCCTGAAGAATGCCTTAATGTTTCTCTAGAACAAAGGACTTTTTCCTTATTTATACTCTGTCCTAATGGGTTCAGAACCCTGTAGGTATGGATTCAACAGAAATATTAGAATGCAGATGAATCCAGTGAGCCTAGCAAGTCTTCTTGCTGACTTGTGGAGGAATCATCTTGATTTTCCTCAATGGGAAATTTGAAATTCAGTTGTGCTGAGTCCTCTATCTAGACCCAATCGGTATTTGAATCATCAAGCTTTCAATATCAAGATGTACCAATTCAAAAAATAAACCAATTTGGCAGTTTCTAAAACTAAAGATCTGGTATTGTGGTCATGCACGACCTGAGATCTATGATATTCATTCGATTATATTAGAATATATTTTACAACAACACTTCAAATAAAATTGTGAAGGAAACCAGGAATACAATTCTGTTCATATACTGTGGAATATTTTCCTTCATTTATTCTTTCTAGATGGAAATTTTATGTTAGTGTGACCTTACCTGTCATCCAGATTTGATTCCCATGTGGCTCAAAATCTTGGTGTTTGAGTCTCAATCGACATCTAGCCTGATCTGAAATGCATGTTTGAATTATAATGTTGAAAGCCAGGGTTCAGGTTTGAGTTATTGGTACTAAATAAGCTATTCATCTTAGAGAAAATACAGAAAGATAATGCTACAATGCTACGCACTTATAATATTTCCCCCTTTTTTAAAAAAAGAAAAATATTGTGTTGGTACTCCGGAAAAATAGAGGCTAGCCTTCTTTTGTTTTTCTTTTTTTGGGTAAGTAGCCTTATTTTGTTTTCTGCAGTAGCTTGTGTTTATATTGATGGATAGTTGGAACCAGGCCATACTTGAGATTGCATATTGTAGTGCGACTTTTGTTTCCCAATTTTGGATAATTATGGAATTCTAATTATCTATGCATTAGCAACTGCGACTGTTGAGACAATTGAATTTGATGAAATTTGCAGATTGCTGGAGAGAAGTCTCCAAGGTTGCAGCAAAGAGATAATTTGGAGTTTCCTAGTGATGTTGATTATCAAATTGAGAGGGATTGGGCAGATTTAAATGCTGATATTTACTTCTGGACAAAGTCTCTCCGTCCTGTTCAGGTATTAGAAAGGTGTTAGTTTTCTTTGCTATTTGCATTGGTTGTATCAGTCTTATTAATTCAGAGATTTTATATTATGGATCAAGTTTTTACACTCTTATGTATTTAAATATGCTGTTATCAACCAATCTCAAAATTTTCTCAGTGGTACCCGGGTCATATAGCTAAGAGTGAAAGGGAGCTTAAAGAACAACTTAAGTTGATGGATGTTGTCATTGAGGTTCGGGATGCGAGAATTCCGCTTGCCACTAGTCATCCACAGGTAGAGCCTGACAACTTTATTCAAAGAATTAAAATTTTCTAGTGTGTGGTCTGTGATGACTATTTGATAAAATTAGATGGATTCTTTGATTGGGAACCGGAGGAAAATTATAGTTTTGAACAGAGAAGATATGATATCAACTGCAGACAGAAACGCATGGGCTATGTATTTTGCAAGGCAGGGAACAAAGGTTGTTTTTGCTAATGGGCAGCTCGGAATGGTATATGCTTATCCATCTACTTAAATATTGAATTCTAATTGATTATAGTTCCTTAGGAATTTGTTTATACTCTTCTCTGGACAGATTTAATCTATAGTACCTTACACAACTCTTGAATCTCTGAGGGCAGGGCACTATGAAGCTTGGAAGGTTGGCGAAGTCATTAGCTATTGGTGTGAATGCCAAACGTAGAAGCAAAGGACTCCTTTCTTGTCCGGTGAGGTTTTAGAAATATTGGTAATCAAATATTATCAAAACGAGATATCTTGTTCATTTTGTTTTGCTTTCTTGTACCATGCTTTTTGAGTTATGATGTTGTGAATTATGTTTCTGGTCGCATTATATATATCCATAATATCTAGAAGTTTTATACTGGTGAAAGCCATTGTTGTTGGGATCAGGAGCGGGAATGGTACTGGGATCGGGATCGGGAGCGAGGGATCGTGAAATGCGAGAAGATCCCTATGGTCGGGAACAACGTCCGTACAATGCACATGTTAGGGATCGAGATTCCAACCTTTTGGGATCTTGATCCCAACCTTTTGGCATTGTAATCCCAACTTTTAGGGGATCTTGTTACCAACCTTAAAAGTATATGATAATTTAGGATTATGTATAATCTTTAAAGTAGAGATCTCATTATTGATAGCAAGCAAGCAATAGTTGTGTTGCTAGTTGGCTTTAGACAATTAAAATCATTAGTTTGATTGTCATATTGGCCTTTAAGGTTGGGATCGAGATTCCTAACAGCAAGAATCGGGATCCCTATCAGTAGGGTTCAAGATCCCAAAATTTAAAAATCAAGATTCCTGAGAGATCCGTTCCGGGAGCTACAGAATCGAGATCTTAGAAGGGATCGCCTACCAAAGTAGGAGATCCCGGTAACTATGGGGAAAGCGTCTCTTTGATTTGCACTTATTCATTGCATTGCCAGAATCTATGTTGTATATTTGAATCAGGTTGACCTCCTTGTTCTCTCATGGTACAATCCTCTTCCCTCTGAGCCCCCTATTTTTTTTTTCAACCAACAAAGACAAAATGTAGGATTGGTGCCAACAGTTCATCACGGAAGAAAGCACTCACCGAGCTGGGCATTTGTAGTTTTCTTCAGAGGGAGCTTGTTTATAAATGTTCGTAATCAATTATTGCATGTAGGAAAAGCGATGGACCTTTGTAAAGATGTACACAATATAAATCATAAACAACCATCATAACAGTGTAGGGCTTTTTTCTTTTTTCACCTCTAGTCTGGACTATAATGATATGCAATACAAGTGGCCTCTATGTGGCCTAGGTTTGAAATATTTTTGAAGACTTACATAGGCAATGACTAAAGGAGTAAAAGAGTAATACACGAATGGATGTTTACATGCAAAGTTCATGTAACTATCTTATTCATATGCTGTTTAGTTAATGTAATTTGTTGTGGTTCTTGTAGGTTGATGGCATGAAGTTTGTCTGAAATGAGCAATGTTTCATAAAACAGGTCGCTTAGTGCCTAGGCGGGCGCGCCTAGGTGCCAAAAGGGCCCTAGGCCACACCCCTAGGCTTCGGCCCACTTTGGGTGCCTGCCCAGGCAACCTAGGTGGGCACCCAACGCCCAATCCTGGGCAGGAGCCCTTTTGACATTGTAAAGTAAAAAAATTAGCTTGTGAGGCCGATTTGGGTCTTTTTGACCCATGAAATAGAGTGAAAGGCATGCTTTAGGAGTATTCTGAGCCCCCAAAGTGATAAAAACTCAAACCTAAACCCTAAAACCACCCCAAATCAATTGATTTTGCAAATTTTTTAATCGAAAAAATTGTAAATTTTGAAGAAGCATCCAAGCACTTACCTTTCTCATTGGAATTATTTTTAGGCTTATACTCTTATAGCGGACTTGGAGTCTACGTGACTATGTCTATGTGTGTGTAACTGTGTATGATGATTGTATGCCACTATGGAGTATGGAGAGTCGGAGACTAATGTATTATGGACTTGTTTACGTTTTCCACTAAATTTTCAATGATTTGAAGTTTTGAACATATTTCAACATTCATGTGTATATATTTGCATGAAAAAGGTTAGTTAGAATACATATAAATGCAAAAAAACAAAATTGACACAAATATCTACATATATGTGTGCTTGAACAGTACATATTTATGCATATATATTAAAAAATTTCACCTCAAGGAGACCGAGGTTTTGGGCATCTTCCTAGGTGCTTAGGCCCAGGCCGGCCAGCTAGGGGCCACCTCGCATTTTCTGAAACATTGGAAATGAGTATGTTTATCTTGAACATTATTTGTGTTTCTATGAAACAGGTTCGTGCTGGAATAGTTGGATATCCAAATGTTGGCAAATCTTCTTTGATCAACCGTCTATTAAAGAGGAGAATGTGCCCTGCAGCTCCCAGACCAGGAGTCACAAGAGAATTAAAGTAAGCTTTCTATCTGATGGTGCACATTAATGACTAGGCTTTAGGGTTTATAGATGCCTTGCATCCTCAACCCAATATGTTCAATTTTCTAATAATGTAGAAAAATGTGAAAGTTAATTATGAGTATATTGGTTTCTTTCAGTGTGGTTTATTGACTCTAGCATGATATATTGCAGAAGCAGTGAGGCCATTAACTTCAAATGGTTCAGACTTCAGAAAATGTGTTACAAAATCATGATATTGAACGTGGTCTCGAACTCATGCAAGTCCGAGTTGACTCACACGAGTTTCTCGGACTCTGCAAGGTGCCATGTCCAAATAGGAACCAGACAAACTTCACAACTTCCTACATTGGATATTATAATTTGTGTGGACTTGGTTGAGTCACTGACAAACTAGGCCTAGTCTATACGGATGACTGGGACTGCAACTTTGCTGAGTCCCGAATCGGGCCTTGTTTTTTAACATTGTATTGAACTATGTTTCTTTGTTGCTATCATAAGATGGATTCGTTTTGGGAAAGATCTGGAGTTGCTAGATTCCCCTGGCATATTACCAATGAGAATCAGTGATCAAGTATCTGCTATAAAGCTGGCAATTTGTGATGATATTGGGGAGAGATCTTATGATGTATCGGATGTGGCTGCAATTCTCATACAGATGCTGAAGAGAATTCCATCAGTCGGTATGTGATTTTGTCTAGCTCATTTTCTTTTTAATAGAAAATGTAAGAGAGAAGTATTACCACCATGAACAATTAGATTTATGTCAACATGCTCACGATGCTCTATGTAATCAGTATAACCATATGTGGGAATCAGTGCAAAGGGTATCGATTGTGGAATCAGTATAACCTTCATTTTACTTAATATTCTGATTTGAGTCTGACTTCGAATTGAAGGTTCCATTTTGTGCTAAATAGAAGCTGTAAAAACCTTGTTCCTAGGGTGGCCCTTGCTTCAGATTCACATTGGTATTTCGAAACACTATTCTTCTTAAAGTTACACCTCAATCTCACTGAACTTGTTTGACGATATTTTTCTAGATTTCATATCAATTGGAGTTGCTGGTCTAATTTGCGGTAAATCACATTTTCCCGGGTAAAGGATCATTATTTTCATTGGAAGAAGGACAAAATCTAGAAGCATCAGCATGACTTGAAAATAAGGGAATACATATGTTTCAAGAAATTTTTCTTGATTCCCATCAATTTGTGTTGCTGGTCTAATTTGTGAGAAATTGCATTTTCCAAGATACAGGACAATGATTTTCATGGGAAGAAGGACTAATTCTACAATCATCAGCGTGACATGAAAATAAGGTCTGTATATATATATATATGAGTAATGATCGTATAGGACCCTCCTCCATTTATGTGTGTAGGACCCCAAAGGATCACCGTTAAAGTTGGCATGGATCTTTAAAAAACTTATCACATGGGTGTGGGATTTGACTTTTTTATAGATACGTGTCAAATTTAATGGTGATCCTTTGGGATCTTACACACATGGGTGGGGGAGGGTCCTATAGG